AAAGTTAGCTGAATTTGCTGAGCACGACTATGCACCAGACACCATGCGCAGTCCCAGCTCCTTTGAGAATGGTTTGAAATAAGTATATTTGACATCACTTTATAAGAAACTAGAGATCAAGTAACTTACCCAGAGTCCTCCACAAGCAAGTGGAAAAGTGACTAGCTGGTTTGAAAGTAAAAAAGCCAATGACAAGTGTGGGGAAAGGAACTTTGCAGTTTTGAAAAAAGTTGTGAAAGTGGCAATAGACAAATCTCATAAGCTCCACTAGAGATCCTAGTGAGGCAGAACAAAAAGAAGAGATGCCTTTTTCTAAAACACAGAAAATATTGCCCACATTCTACTTTCAACCCAAGCAGAAGCCCAGGCTCCATGCCCTGTACAGTTTCAGATTAGTAGGGGGGTGGTCTGATACCCAGACTTACTAAATAAAGGAATTCTAAATCTCTACCTATAACTTTTACCAATTCTCTTATTTTTCTGGTGTTTTAAAAAGTTGCCACTTTTGGAAGAAAACGGTAGGTGGTGTGACTGTTTCACTCTGAAGCTGCTAAACTGATTTCTGAAAATCCATTAAGAGGGAAGCCACATTAGTGCCTGTATTGTATTGACAAAGTGTTTGTTCTTGAATTATGACATGAAGACACTCAAGCGATTACACAATCGGGTGTGTTCTGTCAGGTGACCGAGTTCTATTTTCAGCTTCATATATAGAAGCAGCAGCCCTGAGAGAGTGGCCTGGCATAAGGGAAGCTGGTGAGCATGTGCAATTCTCATTTCTAAGAAAACACGTGTCCAACAAGTTCCCACCCAATCTGCTCCAGGACTTATGTTTGGGAGAACTTAGAAAATAGATGTTGGGGGGAGGGGGGGGGCTTTTTACATGCACTCCCCTATTTTTTTTTTATTTTTTATTTTTTTTTACACTCCAGTTCTCTCTTATGCTATCTGAAATGAGGTCAGGAGCACTAGGGGACTGGGGTGTGGCGGGGGGACCTTCTTCACTCTCCTTTGACATCTCATTTTTTCTTGCAAACAAGTGACCTTGTCTGGTCATCCCGACTTCAGAGGAATACCTGGCTCAGACAAGCTGCCTTGTTCAGGGTTACTCAGCTCACAGATGATGTTGCCTCGAAAGTCCAAAGTGGGTGCTGTGTGTACCTCATCCCTCCCAGTCCAACATTCACTTTTTAGGGTGTCAATTATCTTCCTGGTGGGTCATTCCCTCTGACCAAGGTTTGAGGAGTTTGACAGTTTATGCTGTTGGGAATGGGAGGGGGCAGAATTATTAAAAAACCCAAATCACTGCAAGGTATGTTTAGACCAAAGAACTTATTCGTTCATAGATAGATGGATAGATAGCTAAAGAAAACTTTTTTCAAATATATTGACTATTGGGATTTCCTTTTAAATATAAATGTATTTGTTAATTCCTAGAAACTTTTTGTCAGTCAACGGATACAATTACAGTTATGTGGATATCTTGGAAATTATTTGACATTAAAATAAAGTTATCATCCTAACCGGTTTGATTCAGTGGATAGAGCTTCGGCCCTTCAGACTGAAGGGTCCTGGGTTCGATTCCTGTCAAAGGCACAAGCCCGGGTTGCAGGCTCGGTCCCCGGTAGGGGGCGTGCAGGAGGCAGCCAATCAATGATTTTCTCTCATCATTGATGTTTCTATTCGTCTCCCCATCTCCTTTCCTCTCTGAAATAAAATATATATATAAAAAAAATGGCTCACACCATCTTACTTTTGAAAATACAATTATCAAATTACCTAGTTCTCATACCTAACGCCTAAGAATTACATCCAAGCCTTGCTGTGTTACAAATTAGTACGGATGGTTCCGTTCGGGCCATGCAGAGGCTTAGGGACCGGAGTTCCTCTTCCCATGGCTTTCAAATCAAATGCAGATTGACCTCACCTTTTGAAGCCAATCACTTCTGTTCCTGCATCACAAAGTCTTTCCTCTGGGGGAACCGGTGGTTTGTGTCGCCTTCTCCGCGGCCCCTCCTCCCATTCTCTAGCTGCCACCTCGCCTTGTCACTTCCCCCCTGCAGCTAGTTCTCTCCCTCCCTCCGCAGCTAACGGAGACAGTTTACTTTCCTTGATTTCAGCAGACTTTTGAGGGCGGGGTGGGGGCAGGGAGAAAATGCGGCTCCTAGATCAAAGCTACAAACTGGGGATTTCCTTTCAATTCTCAAACAGGCAGGCCACTCCGCTACACCTACTTGGGCACATGACTGGCTTCTAATGCAGCAATACTTACTGCTGGGGGCGGGGACTGAAAAATCGAATGCCACTTAAAAGTAAACCACACAGAAGTCCCTCTTACCTAGCAGGCTCACCATACTTCTGAATAAATCCTGAATTTCTGTAGGTAGGCTACTATATGGGCATTAATGTCAGGCACTCCAGACCTGGCATTAATTTTCTATTTCGCACTATTTTCTATCCCAATTGTGTAAGTCTCTGGACAACAAAAATCATGCCATGTGTGTCTGTCTTCTCTATTCCTAACCCAGAATGGGACCAAAGGGGATGGTTCCATCAGAAGGTGCATGCTGGTGAAAATTAATTAAAATACAGTCCAGCCAGTGTGGCTCAGTGGTTAAGCATCCACCTATGAATAGAAGGTCATGGTTGGGGAGGTCATGATCAGGTACATGCCCAGGTTGTAGGCTGAATCCCCAGCAGGGAGTATGCAGGATTCTTTCTCAGCATCCATGTTTGTCTCTCTCACTCTTCCTCTCTGAAATCAATAAAAATATACTTTAAAAAAAAGAAAATTAGTTAAAATACAATATTTGGGTTATGTAATGAACACACAGCAGTTTACACGATAAAGAAAAACACAGAAAAGAATGACATAAATTTTTAATGGTTTGTAGCTACAGTATCCACTTTTATATGTATATATACATGTATAAATATAGTTACAGATCATAAATATTCACATGGCAAAATAGACCTGCCACTAGGAAGATACACACAAAATATCTCTGCAACTAAACAAACTAACAGATGTAAGTAATACTGAAGAAAAGTAGATACTGAGGTATTTTTTTTAATCAAAGTGACTATAGTATATCAGCGATTTTCAACCAGTAAACTGCAACAATTTTTAAAACATGCAATACCTGGCTATTTAGTCAGGGACACTGTCCTATTTTTCCTTAGATGGTCAAATAAAAAAAATGACAACCGCCAGCTGAAACCGGTTTAGCTCAATGGATAGGGCGTCGGCCTGCAGCCTGAAAGGTCCCAGGTTCGATTCTGGTCAGGGGCCTGTACTTTGGTTGCGGGCACATCCCCAGTAGGTGATGTGCAGGAGGTGGCTGATTGGTGTTCTCTCTCAACGATGTTTCTAGCTCTCTATCCCTTTCCCTTCCTCTCTGTAAAAAATCAATAAAATATATTTTTTTAAAAATGACAACAGTCAACCCAACAATAGCTGTCAGATGGGAATGAATAAAAATTATACATATTTTTTGTCAGATCAGCAAAATATATATTTTTTGGTGTGCCGCAGAACTTTGGTAATTAGTTTATGTGTGCAATGAGATGGAAAAGCTTAAAAATCGCTGGCCTATATTAAAACATTCTTTCTGTAGGAATTCAAGTAGTTATCAAACCCTTATAAAAAAACAAAACAAAACAAAACAAAACAAAAACCCTTGTTTCATAACCTAAAACTGTAACTTCAACTAACACAAATTGTTAAACAAAAAATATTTTAATTATAAATAGGTAAAATAAATATTATTCTTAATGAAATTCAATCATAATGTTTTTATATATATTTGGAAACTGTTCATAGACTGGTCTTTTTTTTTAAAAAAATGAAATGCAAGAAAACTTTCTCAGAATCTACATATTACTTCAATGGAAATTAATTATATATATATATATATATATATATGATCACCCAGAATGAAAATCCCTTAAAATCCCCTATTTATACATAAGATTTTCATTCTGAATGAGTAATCTATTCCTTTTTTTTAAAAAAGTATATCACTTACACCTGAAACTAATACAAAATAATACTGAATGTAAACTGTTTTTAAAAAATAATTTTAAAAGTATATCCTAATTATGAAAACATGTTTAATTTCTTCTAAAAATCACTCCTTATAGAAGTCACAGTGATTAGTGTGGAAAGGGGCATTTTACAGATTTTAGAAATTTCTTTAGAAACATTCATTTTCTTATAAACAAATACTTTAGAATTGTTTTTACCAAGTTTTAATTACAGCAGTAAAAAATAAAATTCACTTTTTTTTTCTATTATCCAAAATCTCTATGTTCTTTATCTTTTAACATTCAACCTAAGAATTTTACTGGCACCAAATTTGATCATACTTTGGTCAAATTTTTTCAAATTCCATTCTGCCCAGCTAAGGCCCACAGGAACACATTTAATGAAAAGTTGTCTGAACAGAAGTAATACATTTTAAGTAGTAAAAAAAAATTTTTTATCAAATTTTATATTTTGTAGTGACCTATGAAATCAACATTCACTATAACATTCAGTGTTCTCAGAATGAAACATTTACTTTTAACAAGATAATATAATATTATACATTGTTCTGGAGTTGTCATCTATAAGTAGAAATAAACACTGAACATACTCTTTTTTTTGGCCCCTGCCAAAACATGTTAGTTATTTATCAGCTCTTCTTACACCAGGCTGGGCACCAATCTTCAACAAAAATACTAGAACAATTCTCTAAGCAAAAGCAAAAAGTGTAATACTTCATTCCATATTTTCAAAGCTCTTCAATTCTTGCTTTAAAATAAACAAATGACTTCTGGGAAAACTCCAACAGAATTTCACTGTGATGTATTCCATCTTCATTTCCAAGGACATCCCAAAGCAAGTAAGAGCTCCTTTACATTCTTCTCCATTATAACGCAGTCTCTCGCCACTAATTGATGAAATGTGGTAAATCCAGCTTTAAAGGAGTCATCTCATTAGAAGGCTTCTGAAGCAGTCAGGTTCCTGAGCCGAAGAGTTTGTACATTAGATTCATAAGTTTCTGCAGGAAACTCAGTTTGTCTCCAATTCTCCTTAATTGAAGGGCACACTCAATTTCAGCCTCTGAAAAAGAATGAAAAGCATCGAAATTAAACTGACAACATTCCAAAACACAACCAGCAAGATTGAGGAGGTATGTTTCCTCTTACTGTGAGCTTTATGTACACTTGTTTTCTGTATGTGAGATGGAGCACACACAGACAACCTATACAAGCACACTGTGACTCAAACAAAAAAGAAAAGAAAAAAGAAAAGTTAAACGAAGACATTAACTTTGAAATCTTTTTTTAAAGCATCCTGGATGAGGCAAATATTATCTTATTAGCAAATACAAACATTTAATATGTCAAACACCACAGTGAGATGTTGCTGGCCTCAGATGATGTCATTCCTTTTTCTCTCACTTAAGGTTAGTGGGAGGAATGAAAGTCAGATTTTATACTCTTTTCTTTTGTTTTCAATTAGGACTTAAATTTTGTGGCAATAATTCATAGCTAAGATTATGCCCTCATTAATAGGCAAATCTAAAATGTATTCTTTTCTTCATTTAAAAAACTGAATTTTCCTCATAAAAGATTCATACACTTGTTTTCCAAAAGTAAGTTTAAAATAATTTTTTTAAAATATATTTTATTGATTTTTTTTTTTTTTTAACAGAGAGGAAGGGAGAGGGGCAGAGAGTTAGAAACATTGAAGAGAGAAACATCAATCAGCTGCCTCCTGCACACCCCCCACTAGGGAAGTCCCCACAACAGAAGCACATGCCCTTGACCAGAATCAAATCTGGAATTAACTGAATATTAATTTAAGAAACATATTTATAATATAATTTCCAAGTAAATTTTAAGTAAAATTGACATCAAATCTACACTGATTATAATTTAAATTTTCTTGGAAAGTCAAAGAGCAATTCGGGGTCTTTTGTCTACTTTAAGATCATGATTATGAACATTAAAAATCATGACTACAAATTGCAATCTGATTTACTTGGTAAGTAGACCCTGCAAAGACCCTAGTTAGGCTCAAAAGAAATAAAAACTTGGTCTCTGTTATAGATACACATCTATAAAGGTATTAATTTTAAAAATGGTAATCATGGATGTTAACCAAACTTATTGTAGTAATCATTTCACAACATATACATGTATCAAACCATTGTGTGGTTAAACTAAAATACAATGGTATATGTCATGTGTCTCGATTTCTTTTTTAAGTGTTACTATCTAAACAAGTTTACGTGGGACCTTTCTCCAGTGCCTTGTTTTGGGGAACTAAGCAAGTTGGATGGATAAAGCTTATGCACTAGGTCCTCCCCTCGCCGCCATCTCCCTGGTCCTGGGTAAAACCTCGGAAGCACTTCCAAGGAGGCGCCTTTTCAAAGCAGGGTCAAAACTACTGGAACATCACGAAAGGCAGAAAGATTTTTTCCTTCCCAAGCAAGAGCCAGGGAGAGCAGCCTGGCGCCCACCTAGCCATGGCTGCACTGCCCATACACCACTTCCTTTGCGTGGCGGAGAATGATGGGCTCTATAAAATGAAAGTGTGTTGAAAACAGGGGGATGGATTACCTGTTGATGTGATAGCGGTCTGACCCACCCGGATTTTCTAGCTCAAAGTCTTGCTGCCTTGTTTTGATAAGATTTATAAATCGGGGGATGGGGGAGGGGGGGAGGGAGAGAAGCCTTAAAAGTTAGTTGATGGGCAGTTTGGGGAGTAGGGGGAGGAATGGATGGACCGGGGACCAACTTCGGTTCTCCTACCCCTTTCAGCAACTAATTAAGATTGTTAAAATGTGCTAGAACAACTCTCGACAAGGAAGCAAGAATTTCTGGGCTCCTGAATGCAGTGGTCCCTGCGGAACCTCCACAACCCCCCGTGAGTCCTCTGTGGAATATCCGGGATCACAACAAGCGTTATCTCTGCTTTTGTTTGCGTTGCGGGTGGAGAGGATGATAGCGCCCAGCGCAGAGCTCCCCCGGCCCCGAGGTCCAGGACCCCGGAGGAAGGGGCCCGGCTTAGGAATCGCGGGAGGCCGGGCAGTGCCCAGAGCTCCTCCCGGCCCCGCCTGCCGTGACCATGACTTTCTCCTGGATGCCGGCACCGGCGTTTGCGTTTTTCTTCCCCGTGGCCAGGGCAGGGCAAGTGCGGCTGGAGGGCGGGCGAAGAGGCTTTCAGCATCCGCTGGAATACCGCTGCATCCCAATCCCAAACCTGCGTCCCTCCCTCGCCGGCTCCGCGGTCCCGGATAAAACCCCCTCCCCCACCCCGAAGGACTTCCGCGAGGCGGATAAAACCCCAAAACACGTGCAAGGGCGCAGACCAGGCCAGACCCTGAGGCCCCGAGTAGAAGGGATGGCCCAGTCCCGATAGAGACCTCGCCCCGGTCCGGGCCCCCTGGCCCCGGCCGGGCCCTCCGCCCCATCGGGTCCCTACCTGCCGGGGCCCGCGCAGGGCCAGGCTGCGCGCTCTTACGCGCCCTCTTCCCGGGCATCTCCGCAGGCGGCCGGCGATCCCTCTGCGTTCGATCACTCCAGGGGACCGAGTCTCCGAACCCGGAGCCTGCGGGAGGCGAGCTGCGCGCGGGGGGCCAGGCCGGGCCCGAGAGGGCCGAACAGGACGGATCAGGTCGGACACCCGACTTAGGTGAGCGCCCGAGAACCTCTGAGGTCCGCGAAATGGCCCGGCCCGCGCTTTCCTTTATGGGGGACTTCCCGGTGACGTAGCGAAACCAGGCGTCCCCGCCCCGCTCCCCGCCCCTCTCGCCGCCCCGCCGGCCGCACAGCGGCCCCAGCCCGGGAGGAACCCGCTCCACCTGCGCGATCTGCCCGGACACGTTTCCCACCCGCGGCGGCCCCGGCCCGCGCGGCTCCAGAGTCGCTCCCTGAACGAACGGGGCGGGGACGCCGCGCTCGGACCCGGGCTGGCGGGCGGGCGGGCGCCCAGAGCCGAGGCCGCTGCAGGCGCCGCAGGGCCCCGGAGGCGGGCGAGGAGGGAGGTTTTCCCGCGGGAAAGTCCAGGGTGGGAAGGCCGGGAGCTCGGTCCTTATCATAAATGCGCAATTAGAGACTTCGGTAAACAGCCTCGGCGGAGTTGACGGAGAAAAATTGTCACACTTAGTTTCAGGGAAGCGGCATGATAGCTGGAGGGATGTTGCCAGAGGCCACGCAACCTCAAGAGAGATGGAAAATGTTGGGAAGTTAACTACAAATTGAAACCCCGGAGCAGACACCGCTTTGATTTGGAAGGGGTGTGTGTGTGTGTGTGTGGGGGTGTGGTGGTGTTGTTGTTGTTGTTGTTTGGATGTGAGAGGGAGGGGATTAGTTCTCGGCCCCCGCCCCCGGAGTCAGGATTGTCATTTAAAAAGTTGAGCATGTCGAAACCGGTTTGGCTCAGTGGATAGAGCGTTGGTCTGCGGATTGAAAGATCCCAGGTTCGATTCCGGTCAAGGCCATGTATCTTGGTTGTGGGCACATCCCCAGTGGGGGGTGTGCAGGAGGCAGCTGGTCAACCTTTCTCTCTCATCAATGTTTCTAGCTCTCTCTTCCTCTCTGTAAAAAAAAATCAAATCAATAAAATATATTTAATAAATAAAGATGCAATAATAGAAAATAGCAAATGGATAAAAAATAAAAAGTTGAGCATATTACCTCTGGACGGGTCACAGTTGCTGGATGCTTAGTAACATTAAAAAATAATAATAACAATCCCATCATATAGAAAACATTCAAACGCTTTTGTGCGGGGAAACGTGAGCTATCTGGGAATATGAAGTTATTTGCATGAGGTTTGGCTGGTCCTTGAATCATTGGTTTCATTATTATGAAAAGAAGGAGTAACTCGGTCTGCTCACACTGAGAGCCGCTTCATGCTAAGGGTTTAAGCAGGCCTTGTCTCCTGTCCCCCGGGCACCCCTGAAGCTGCGGCTCTTCACCATCAGGACCTCTTACTGAGGTTCATGGAGACCAAGCTCACAGGGGCAGAATGCAGTGCGGGGGGCTGAGCCCGGCCGGCCCACTTGCCCACTGCAGCCTCCCCGGGAATCGCAGTTTCTCAGGAAGTGCATTCTTCTATTACCCGCGCTCTTGAACGCACAAATTGCAAATTGGCTGCTTAGAGCTGCGTGGCTTCCTAAGAAGTATTAGGTTTGGTTCCCAAGATGGTCTGCAAAATGTCTTTTGAACATTTGAATCGGGACGCCAACATTTAAAATTGAGACATTGTAGTAAAGGCTGGGGTTTCTGGCATCCTTTGGATAACCCGAAGCTCTCCCAGCCCGGGATCCGTTTCCCAAACGCGCAGAGCGGACCAGGAGCGGCGGCCGCCTGTTCCCCAGGGAGACCTGGGGCGCGAGCGCCCCTCGCCACACTCCCTGCTGTTTGTTTTCTCATTTACTTTATCTGGCCCCAGTAGGCAGCAGGGTTGTTTATTTACCTCAAGTCATTCAATCCACACAAATCTGCAAGTGTTTATTTTTGCCTTGGTTCTGCAGAGATGTAGACAACGCTATTAAGCATGGAACAAAACTACTCTGGAGTTTAAATAACTTAGTTTTGAGTGTGGTAAACACGTCGAAATTAAGAGGATTCGGGCGGTTTTCGGCACGTGTTATGGGAAGCACGGAGGAGAGGCCGCCTCCAAACCTGTGACCTGGAACCAGATATCCCACCGCTAGGTCCCCCTTTGAAAGGCTCCTTCGGACTAACTTAATACCCAAGGCACACCATTAACTTCCTGCTTGGATAAATTAATAGACTTCTGATCAAATCGTGCACACTGAAAGGCAATGAGTACTTCAACTACAACAACAAAAACAAATTCAGTCCTATTTACGTACAAAGGGTGTGTCAATCCTGTCCTCGACTATTATCATGATAAAATGTTGTTGGTCACGTGACCCATACAAACCTCAGGCAACTTTGTGCCTTTTAGAGAATTGCAAATTCAACTTGTTGGAAAGGAAAAAGAGGAGCTAGTGGGGGGTGGGTTTCAGAGTTGGGTCAGAACCAGTTGTTTATGGAGGGCTTTTTAAGGTGTTGGATTTGAGACAGTTTGCAAACTCTTTCAGATCTCACATCCGACTAAGGAAATTCGAAGCTGAGCGTGAAGGGCTTTCTTAACTGTATACTTTTCTGGAATCCCCTCTTATTTGCTTAGAAAACACTTTCAGTCCTAGCTGGATTGGCTCAGGGATAGAACGTTGCCCTTTGGACTGACAGTGCCCAGGTTCAGTTCCGGGCAAAGGCACTTTCCTGGATTGCCGGCGCTGCCAGTCAATGATTCTCTCTCATCCTTGATGTTTCTATCTCTCTCTCCCTCCCTCCCTGTCCTTTCCTCTCCGAAATCAATAAAGAAATATTAAAATAACAGGGCTGGAGAGGGTGACAATTTTTTAACTACTACCAGATAGCAGTCTTCATGGACCAAATTAAAAAAATAACTGTACAAATCCAGCCATGCCCGTGTTAAAAAAAAATACTGAAAAGCAAAATAGCAGATGCGATTAGTAATAGAATAGTCATATATTTCCTGCAGAAATGGGGTTTGACAGGAAGAAAACGTGAGAAGTGAATAAGGGGGGAATTTTAAGGAAGCCTGTGAAGATATATATATATATATATATATACATATATATATATATATGTATATATATATGCTGTAAACCTGAGTCTGTTTGTTCAGATAAAAGAGAACTTCTTGTTGTTTTTCCCTGTAGAGAATGGGTGTGAACAGGATATCAGCCTCAAACATTGATCGGTTAAATCTCTCTTTATTTAAATAGACACTGGGGTAGGCTCTGGGGAGACAAGTGTCTCCTCTCCCATGGAGGCTGCATTGAAGAGATCAGTACCTCACAAATTCAATGCGCATGAGGTCACATTGTTAAAATACACATCTGATGTTATGGCAGACTGTGGGAGGGCAAGTAAGCAGGAAAGGGCATCTACATAGGGATAAATAGGAGTTGGCCAAGCAATGAGGCCAAAGGGAAGAAGTATGCTCCATGCAGAATGAAGAGCAGTGTGAGGTGGGAAATGGTGAGAGGTGAGTGGGGAGAGAAGCCACTGGAGAGTGTGGGTATTACTGTGGGAGCAATGGGGGTGGGGGGCACTGAAGGTTTTAAGCAGGTGGGTGATATGATTAGATTCTAGAAAGCTCACTCTGGCTGCAGTGTGACTAGACTAGTTGAGCCAAGACTGGAGACAGTGACTCGTGAAGATACTGCTAGCATTTTCACACAAGATGGTAGAGTGAACAAAGTCACTGTTTCAACCATTCTCTTGTTAAAATGTCCATACTTCCTGACTAGGATCGGTCCACATTCTGTTAGAGCAAGACTTGATATTTTCAAATAATGATAAAAATCTCTTATATTAGTTTCCTAGGGTTGCCATAACAAAGTACCACAAACTGGGTGGTTTAAAACAAGAGGGCTGTCTTTTGGCACAGTTCTGGAGGCTGGAAGTCTGAAATCAGGGTGTCGGCAGGGCCACACTCTCCCTCAGGGCTCCAGAGAAGAGTCCTCCTTTGCCCATTCTAACTTCTGGTGGTTGCCAGCAGTCCTTGCAACCCTTTACTTATAGATGTATCACTACAATGTCTGCTTAGATTTTTAATTTATTTTTTAATATACATTTTATTAATTTTTTACAGAGAGGAAGAGAGAGGGATAGAGAGTTAGAAACATTGATGAGAGAGAATCATCGATTAGCTGCCTCTTGCACACCCCCCACCGGGGATGTGCCCGCAACCAAGGTACATGCCCTTGACTGGAATCGAACCCGGGACCTTTCAGTCCACAGGCCGACGCTGTATCACTGAGCCAAACTGGTCTCAGCTCTGCTTAGGTTTTTAAATGGCCTTCTCCTCTGGGTGTCTGTGCCCAAATTTCCGTGTTCTTATAAGGCCATCAGTTATTGCATTAGGGCCAGGCCAATCCAGTATTACCTCATGGTAACTTGTTTACATCTGCAAAGACCCTATCTCCAAATAAGATCACATTCACCAGTTGGCAAGTGTTGGGAGAGAAAGGAGTCAGGACTTCAAAATATCTTTTGAGGTACACAATTCAACCTGTAGCATTTCCCTTTATCAACTGTCTTTTCAAAAAAAGTTCTATGTATACACTCTCTTCCTATTTACAATTTGCACATTTTACAACCAAAAGGTTCTTAGTAAACTGGACAAGACTTGATATTTTCAAATAATTATAAAAATCTCTTATATTAGTTTCCTAGGGTTGCCATAACAAAGTACCACAAACTGGGTGGTTTAAAACAAGAGGGCTGTCTTTTGGCATAGTTCTGGAGGCTGGAAGTCTGAAACCAGGGTGTCGGCAATGGATTTAAGAGCCTGAAATAAAGGTCCAAAGCAGTAGAGATAAGATAGGAAATGAGATGACCTCTGAGGGAACGGGTTTGGAACATCTGTGAGATGTGGAAAGGGGCTTGTTAGCTAGCCTTGGAAGTAAAAGAAGCCTTAACTTCCAGGAAAAATAGGCTTAGGGAAAAAAGACAAAAACTCACAACTGACCCGTGGCATTTGCCCGGTGAAGTGGGAAAGAGGCAGAACTGAAGTAGGTGGTGTCATGATCCACACGAGGCAGAAGGGGCAGCAGGACGACACAGTTGGTGAGGGAAGGGAACGGGGAGTTAGAAGATCTTTTGAGGGTCTGGAAGCTTTGAGTTTTATTACCAACAAACAGAATTATTATCCGGCTGCCTGGATAATTGAGAATTGCTGCCTTCAGTGGGAGATACAGTTTCACTGCTGCAGATAGACTTGGAAATTGATGAAAACTGAATTCTAGATCATCATCAATTTAATCCACCAGCAGCCCCACCATACGAATTGCGTAAAACTGAGATAGAGGAACTGAACCTTGAGAAGGTTCACAACCACTCACGTGATACCAACCACCCTTTGGCTTCTTCCTCATACACTCCAAGTTCCTTCCTGCTTCTGAGCCCTCACCCTTGCCATGGACTCTGCCTCGAATGCTCTTTCCCTGATCTTTCCACATCCAGATACTTTTGACCATTCGGGTCTCAA